TTTCTAAATTCTTGAATCATGAGATTATTTTTTTGGTACCCAAAAATTCAAAAAAAAATTTTTTCTGATTTCATGAATTTTTCCAAAAATTACAGAGGAATTTAACTTCTTTTAAAAATTAGAACCCAAATTTCGATAATTTTGTACCAAGAACGAAAATTGAAATTCTGTTATTATGAGATTATTTTTTTGGTACCCAAAAATTCCAAAAAAAATTTTTTTCAGATTGTTGCAGTCGTCCTCACAGTTCGACCAGTGCCGAAGTCGATCAAGGTTTAGCCAACCTAAACCTCGCTACTGGTACCACAGTCCCCACTCAAAGTACCAGTACCGTTCAAATAACCCGAACCAAGGAGTCCCGTTATAAGGGCAAACGCGCCTACCCCTCCATCCCCAACCAACCCTCTGAAGCCGGTGCCCATTTCATGTTCGAATTGGCAAAAATCGTATTAAACAAAGCGGGTGGTTCCAGTAGTACCTCCTTATTCACCCAACCCTCAACAAGCCAGAACCATCATGGTCCCCATCGCGCCCTCCACATGTGCGCCTTCCAAATCGGCCTCTACGCCCTTGGACTTCACAATTGTGTAAGTCCAAATTGGTTAAGTCGGACTTACTCATCGCATGTGTCATGGATAACCGGTCAAGCGATGGAAATCGGGGCGGCTGCGATATCATTCTTGATTGACACATGGGAGGGGCATCTGACTCCGCCCGAAGCGGCGAGTATAGCCGATCGGGCGTCACGTGGGTGTGACCCAAATATGGTGCGAGCTGCGGCCGAATTGGCTCTTTCGTGTCTACCCCACGCCCACGCCCTCAACCCCAATGAAATCCAACGTGCGATCCTCCAATGCAAGGAGCAGAGCGACGATATGCTCGAACACGCCTGTTTGACGGTGGAGACAGCCGCGAAAGGGGGCGGAGTCTATCCCGAAGTGCTCTTCCAAGTGGCCAAATACTGGTACGAGCTGTACATTCACCACACCCCCGGCGGTGAACAAATGATGGAGAATGAGCCAATCCTGGACACGCATGGTGCTTTAGTAGCGCTGATTGAGCCAGGACCTGAAATCCCGCCCACAAGTCCCGTTGTTGTGACAACAGCTCCGCCTCCTCCTTATCCAATCACAATACCGTACGCTGTTGGTCATTATAATTTCCTACATCCGCATCAGATTAGTTATGGGGGCCCTATACACCCCCCTGTGCCCCTCCATCAACCCCCACCCATGCCCATGTATCAATTCCAATATCCACCACCGCCGAATCAAGCCCCGCCCCAGTATCCACATCCGGCGAATCAAATGCAACCGATTCGGTATTACGGCACGGGGTGTGTCCGACCGGTTTATGCTCCGCCTCCTGGGATGGTACCACAACAAGCTCCGCCTCCAAGACCGCCCCGACAACCCCAACAGTTCAATCAAACGCAATTACGTTATTTATTGACGGCGTATAGAGTGGGGATGTTGGCAATGGAGACTTTGGCAAGGAGGGTGCATGATGACCGCCCCCAGGCTAAGTATGCAAGGAATCCGCCCTATGGGGAGGATGTCAAGTGGTTATTGCGGATTTCCAAGCATTTAGGTACGATTTTTACATTTTTTTTGTGTTATTATTACTATTATTATTATTATTTTAGGTACTCAATACTTGCATCATTTTTGCGTTTGCGCAGTTAATTCAATTGTTAGTCCGTTTGTACTTCATGATGTTGCGATTGAAGCTGCGCATTATTTGTCGCGAAATAATCCAACGATGGTTATGCAACATTTAAGGACGGCCTTGACGCCATTAGTGCAGAAATGTCAACAGATGTATATACAGTGTATGCATCAAAAATTGTATCATTTGACGTCGGCTGATTATGAGGATTTTGTTAGTATTGTATGTGCGGCGAGGGCCGCCTTTCAGATCACGCCCGATGGGAGTGCACAATTTAAGGAGTGGTTACAGTCGATTAGAAGGTGGGTCAAAAATGTCAAATTACATTTTTTTATTCACACGTAAAATAATCACAAAGCAGTGACAAAAAATTCGATTTTTTTTATGATTGGTGTTTGCCCCCTTTTTTGCTACATGTTACGCCACTGGAATTTGACTATTAAATTGCGAATTTTTGTGATTTTTTGTCTAAATTTTGTCGAAAATGTTTCGGGTTGCCCAATTTTGGCAAAAATTTGACGTTTTTAGCAAATTTGGTGTGCAAAGCAGTGGCGTACCAAAAAAATTTGATGGTGAAAAAATTTTTATTTTAAACTTAAAACAAGAGTAAAAAATTAATTTAGGAAAGATTTGTTTTGATTATTGGGTATTTGCCCCTTTTTTGCTACATGTTACGCCACTGGATTTTGACTATTAAATTGCGAATTTTTGTGATTTTTCGTCTAAATTTTGTCGAAAATGTTTCGGGTTACCCAATTTTGGCAAAAATTTGACGTTTTTAGCAAATTTGGTGTGCAAAGCAGTGGCGTACCAAAAAATTTTGATGGTGAAAAATTTTTTATTTTAAACTTAAAACAAGAGTAAAAAATTAATTTAGGAAAGATTTGTTTTGATTATTGGGTATTTGCCCCTTTTTTGGCACATGTTACGCCACTGGATTTTGACTATTAAACTGCGAATTTCTATGATTTTTCTTTTAAATTTTTTTTAAAATGTTTTAATAACGTTTTGTAGTGTTTCGGGTTGCAGAATTTTGTCAAAAATTTCGATATTTTTATCAAATTTTGTGTAGAAAAGTGTCCTCGGCTTTGCCTCGGCTTGCAACTCATTAAGTATGCACAATTGTTGAGATTTTATTGTTTCAACCTTTTCTGAGAGGAGAAATGTAAATTAAATAGTGAATTTCTCTGATTTTTTTTTCTAAATTTTTTTTAAATAACGTTTTTGTTGCCTCGGTTTGCGGGATTTTGCCAAGTATTTCGATGTTTTCACCAAGAAAGTAGTATCGTAGCAAAAATTTTTTGATGGGGGTTAAAAAATGTGAACTGGATTTTTATGAATTATTCAATATATGTGCTCTTTTTCTAACCACATGTTACGCCACTGGAGTTTGACCATTAAACACCGAATTTCTATGGTTTTTCCTCGATTTTTTCCAAAATTTGTTTGGATAACGTTTTGTGTTGACTCGGGTTGATTTTTTACCAAATAAGCAGTGGCGTATCCAAAATTTTTTGATGGGGGTTAAAAATGTGAGTTTTTTTTTATAAACAAAAAACTGGATTCTTAATGAATTTTTCAATGCACATGTGTCTTTTTTCTACATGTTACGCCAAGAATTTGATCAATAAACAGTGACTTTTTATGATGTTTTTTCTGAATTTGCAGGATTTGGTAAGAAATAAGCAGTGGCGTATCAAAAATAATATGCTCATAAAAAAGTGTAAATTTTTTATTTAATAAGAAACTGAATTTCTGTGAATTCTTCAATGTATATGTACCTTTTTTTAATCAGCCACATGTTACGCCACTGGAATTTGACTATTAAACATGTTTTTTTTCATTCTTTCTTAAATTTGTCCAAATAACGCTTTGTGTTGACTCGGGTTGCAGGAATCTCGATGTTTTCACTAAAAAACCAGTGGCGTATCAAACATTTTTCATGGGGGTGCAAACATGTAAATTTTTAATTTAACAAAAAACTGAATTTTTCATGAATCCGTCAATGCACATATGGTTTTTTTTACTACATGTTACGCCACTGGAATTTGATCATTAAACACTGAATTTTTATGTTTTTTTATATATTTTTTAAATATGCAGTGGTGTATCAATCCATTTTTTCCTAAATTGGTTCAAATAACGTTTTGTGTTGACTCGGTTTGCAGGAATCTCGCTGTTTTCACCAAAAAACCAGTGGCGTATCAAAAATTTTTGACGGGGGCTAAAAAAATCAAATTTTTTTCTAGGTCGAAATCGTGCAAGAAGGACCTCTGGACGCAGATAAACACCGCCCTTCAGGCCAACAGCAAATGACAAAGGACAGATTTAGGTCCCCAAAGTAGTAGTAGTTATCTACGCGTCCAAGAATTAGACGAAACGACGCCGCCGACGCCGAGTCCGGGCCTGCACTTGTGCACTTATCCCATCGTCAGCACGGGGCTTCCATCCGATCTAAGTAGGCTGTACATTATTCAAAATTCCCACGTCAACGAACCACAATTCGACATTTGGTCAAACACGTCGGACATTAGTTGATCACGTGATCGATTTTTAAGTGAATAAAAGCAATTTTTCAGTGTTCTGTCACTATTCTGAAGTGCTCAGGTTTCTTACCATCTTTGCCTTCATTAAAACTCTCTAGGTAAACAAACTAATTACGTAATTTTTATATCTAGGCAATTTTTTTCGAAAATCATGCATAAAAAAATGATTATTATTCAGTTATTCAGTGTTTTTTTAGGTTAGTTTTTTTTATCAATCATTTAACACTAGTATAGTTTTTTTTCTAATATAAAAAATTGTGTTCAATCGAATTGTACAATTTATGAGAAGTCATGTTGCGCGTAAAATATGTTATACAACTCAGGCAAAATGTATCATAGTGACTAAAACGAGTATTTTAGCAAAAATATGACAGTTTTCATGACTTGTCCAATTGTTTTTTGTGTATATTATGATCTCAAAAAGTCGGGTTTGTGTACAGTTCATTCAACGATTCTCGGAAAAATCTGTGCCTTTAAAATTATACAGTTTTGAATCAAAATTTCTGTCACGAACTGTACCCAAATCTGTCAAATTTCAGCATAGTTATTTGATTTTTCTAGCGTAGTTTAGGTACGTGTCAAATTTATTGAAATATGATAATCGTGGAAAAAATCTTGTATAAACCTCAGTAGCATCAATGTACGTCATATTTCTTTAATTGAATTTCACAAGAGAGAAATAAGGGCTGATTTAAACTATTGTATAGCAAACAATGCCGATTGATGTAAAAATTTTGTGTTATTTTAACCGTCTCTCAGCTAACTTTCATTTGTTTCCCCCCCCCCCCCTCCACATATCAGTGTGTTATCAGTGCCTGGATCAAGAGCTTATGTATATAATCATCTCATCAGGCGGCAGCTCTTATTTTCACCACCGGCACTTGAAAAAATCTTGTATATAACTCGACGGTTGTCAAAAAGTTTTTTTTTTGGTGCACAAATAGCGATTTCGATAAAATTATGTAACCGCATTAGTCTAAGTGTGACAGAAATTATATTGAGTGTAATTTAAATATTTTTACACAACTATTTATGTATAAAAAATGGTACACGTAGTTTATATAATCCGTGTCTTGGAATTATTTTCAATGTACAGTTGTAATGGCCGACTCGCTGTCATTTTCTTTGTGCAAGTGAGTTAATAAAATATTCAATTTGCACAGACTATCACTGGAAACCTCACAAGTTTTGCGTAAAAGCGAATTTTTGGTCACAAGGCTCGGCTTCGCCTCGTACTTTAAGTAGGAGTTGAAACTACAACCCTCGGCTGCGCCTTGTAGTGAAATATTGCGCAAATGTAGCGTTTTTAGTGTTGCACTACTCGGCTGCGCCTCGTACATATTTGACATAAACTTCACGTAAAAAGTATCTAAAAACTAAAATGCTTGGCTTGACATCACAAAAAAGTAGATTTTTGTTAGAAATATAGCCTTTTTCTTGTTACACCACTCGGCTATGCTTCGTAAATTTGACAACTATAAGCAAAATTAAAAAATCAAAAAACTACATTCCTCGGCTTTGTTTTGAGCTAAAAATAAGGAAATCTTGCACAAATGTGGAGTTTTATTGTTAGAAAACTCGGCTTTGCCTCGTACATTTTACATACATTTTAGGCAAAAGTAAAAAATTTGAAAACTGCAACTTTGTTTTTTTTTTTGGCTGAAAATCAACAAATATAAAAGTTTTGTTGTTATAAGACTCGGCTGCGCCTCGTTTATATTTGACATAACCTTTAAGTAAAAGTAAAAAGTA